CAAACTGCTAAAGCACTTGAAGATATTAAGTCCCGTTTCCACTCGTGCAACGACCCATCAAGAACATGAGTAACGAATAGCTCCCCATCCTTTTCGTTACGTGGAACTGTTGGACCGTGCTGCACATTGGTGATGTATCACTTCACTATATACGGGGGGGGGCAACAAACACACTCCTACTCACATTCAAACAGAATTAATTACACTTTGCCAAAACCAAACCGAATGAGCTCAATTGCATATTGAAGAGCACATTCTATTCTATCAAAAACATTGCATAGTGGCCTTCTAACCGACGACACCAGAAGATTTTCCCACGGAAACATGGTTCGCGGTACGAGCTCAACGGGGTCGTCGAGAAACCATAGATGATTACGACGTCTCTGAAACGCTGGTCAAAAGCCATTTTGCATAGTCAGAGCTAGTGTCTCTAAGAAGTCATTCACCAGTTATCGATTGAAGAATTTATGTAGCAGCTTCAGAATGGAGCGATTATTGTAGGCCTCCTTAAGCTCGACGGTGATGACAGATGACGTCATATTCTGGAGACGGTGAAGCAGCGAAGGTGGGCCTGATTCTGCTTATGGGGGGACATCTAAGGAATATTCGCCGTATAACTCCCAATAACAGCGGCATCCTTTGCGACGAAAAGTTTGATGATATGCGCCATGGGCAAAGTGACTCTTTTTTTTTGCCCCCCCCCCCTGTATATCACTCATCAAGGTCTTTCGGTACAAAATTATTTGATGACATTGAAAGAGAAAATGAAAGTAGATGCTCCAGGAACCAGTATAACTTGAAATAAAAGTTCCTGCGATAATGAACTGCCTGCGCTCAGTAGAAATAGTTTGCATGCAAGCTCCATGGTGGGCAGCAGCCACGCTCTGCACAGGCTGCAGGTTAAACTTCTGACTTGTAAATTGATTGCCGCCGTCCTGTCTGCGTGGCCGCGTACGGATCTCAGGCTGCGCTTTCACATGCGACAGCTACAATTTGAGTAGTAGCATCCGGCAGATACCAGTTATTGTTTGGTGGAGCAAAACACACAGCGTAAGGCATCAACCCTTAATTGGTAAGCATTAAATTGTCGTAAGAGCGTATTCGAACAAGTACTCACCACCATATGCCACTCCAGGATTGTCACCCGTATAATAGTATGGCATTGTGCCTGCAGGACACGTCCATGTTTGACTGTAAATATTAGTGTACGCACCACGGTTACAATATTCTTCGATTCACTGCTAATGTGGAAAGTTTCGATTCTGATTGAAAATCGGAAACCAGATGCATACCCGGAATTCCAATGCAGAATTGGGAGGAACAGTACGCCAACTTTTGATGTTTTCCACCCTGTGCTTGTACTCCCTTTACTCAATCTCCTTCAACCCATTTGCGTCGCGGCGTTTTTTTTTTGCGTGTGCCTGTCTATACTCGACGCTGCGTGGAGGCGAAAATATCTTAAAGGAATCTTGCGCGGAAAAATCATGATTCTATTTCAGCCATAAATCACTGGCTTGAGACTCATTATCCACGATAATAGTGAAAAGAACTGAAGTATTGCTTTCGTTTTGATTAGAAATTCGAAAACTCGAAAAGGCTGCTACGCGTTCGAATTGCCCACGGACGTCTTTCACGAATGCTGGCGACGGGGATGCTCAAACTTGGTTCTTGGAGTGCATTCACTAGAAGCTCTTTCTGGCCTTCTGCTTCGTTGCATTCACATCTTACACTTCTACTCCATCCTATTCCATCGATCGATTTGTCTCCACTCTCCGAAATCGCGCGCTTTAACCCGATTCTCTCATTGCGTCGCCTGGTACGTAGCCGGCCAAACGCCGTCTTCTTTCCATGCCTCGCCTGGCTCTGCCTCCTGGTCCTTCGATGGTCCATAACGTGTAGTTTTTGTACGTTTGTTTCTCTTCAGAAACCGAATCTTCATGCGTGAAACTTTGTGTGCTATTTCCAGTGATCACAACTGACATATTCATGTTAGGAAAGAGTGCAAGAATTTTCCGCGCAAGATTCCTTTAAAAGAAAGCTACTCTTGAATACATGCATCTGGTTGTATGTATAAGAACCATGCGTATAAGGTTACAATTGTATAGTTGAATATTTTATACGTCGTCTTTTGAGAAGAAGTAAGTTATCAAAGGTTGCAGAAATCGGAAATAACATGAAGAATATAAGTGAAGAAAAGGGTCATAAAGCGGTTCGAATGGGGTCATTTGAGTTGTTTTCAGTGCTCGACGTCGTCGTATGGGCGGTATTCCTTTTTTTTTTAACAACGATTAAGCAGAGTGTAACTGACGTTTTAACAATAGAGACCTCAGGCCTATTTTCATCTGGTGCAGTCCAACGTATAGTATATGTTATCCTCTGAATTCGATACCACTATTAGGTTGTCCCATAAGCAGCGTCGCTTTTTTAAGTGAAAGATTTTTCTTTTGAATCATCAATTTTTTACACCAAGCTATTGCAGTTGTATATCATGTTGAGCGGCAAAAAAGTGCGGTACGAGCGAAGAGTCTGCACTTGTGCTGATAACTGTATAAGGGCGACAAGCCTCAGCAATGGAAAGCAGGTAGCTGCAACCTTCCGCACCGAGTTGGCGAGGTGTCTGCGTTCTTAAGGAGGAAGTCATGAGAAAGTGCGGAAACTTCGGACAAGGTACACAATGCCCACGTGGGACCAACATAGATGCGAGAGCGCACGGAGAAGGACTATCTAAGTGGACTTTGAAGACTATGAACGCCTCTAGCAACAAACTGATGCATGGCTCTAACATAGTGAAGGCTTTGTAGGCAGACAGTTGTTGAATCATTTCACATCCTGAGTATAATAATACAACATATCCTATATGCACAGTTATGCTGTTAAAATTGGACAGACGTTGAAATGAGGAATGTCATTCGAACAAAAAGCAAAAAGCCGAAAACACTGAGATTGCCCTTGTGAAGTCGGGCGTGGTTGAACGGAGAGACACAGCGCTGTGAGGAACGGGAAAACGCGAGGGGGTTGCAAAACGCCACGTTATTGCCGCGATTATAGGATGGCAGCCGGCAGCACACAAGGCAAAGTCTTGGCGCCGTTGGGTCGTACTTTTGAGTAGTGACAGCGTCGCGGCTCCTGTGTTTGTGAACCACTCTTACTCACTCTAAGAGCGATTTCTTCAAAGCGCCTAATCCCGACTCGTGGGATAACATTGGGATTCATTCGAATAACATGCATCATCCAAAATAACCATTTTTCAAGGAAGGAACATTTAAGAGAAAATGCAATAGTATCCCGTCCCACTAACCGACATTCTGCCCCAAACTTGCTTGCACAGTCGCAAGCGGCCTGCACAGCAGTGCGCATATCGCTGTCTAGAGGTACCTAGCAGCTCGTAGCGCGGTAGATCGAGAGGCAATAAATCAATACTGTAATGGTTCAGAAACTGGAGCGACTCTCAGAAAAACTGAATACTCTCAGCGATTTACTGGACAATTATAATGTATCAGGAGAGTGATAATAAAATTTGCATTTCATGCAAGTGTTATACGAAGTTATACGTTTCTGTTATATACTGGGTGCGGCAAAAGTTCTGGCAACGGTAAATATGCCCGTAAAAAACGGTCGAATCGATCGATACATGATACAACTTCAACAGCATTTATCAACAGCTATATAGATCACAAAAACAAACTAGATCTCGAAATAGCCTCCTTTTGCTCGAATACAGGCTGAAAGTCTCCTAGGAAACGCGTCGACGGCGGCACGGAGGTAGTCCTCGTCCAAATCCTCCCATGCATGTTTTCAACAGATCAATTCCTGAACACCCAAAACGATAGGATAATAGCGGGAAGCCCTGCAGAAGCCAGCCAACATGGAGGGATTGCTCAGCGATCTGACACCCCAAGTCGTTGATGGTTTTTGGGGCAATCACATCGGACGGCAAGATGCCCCTGATTTTCTTGGAGAAAGGGGTCAAGGTGGATAGTAAGATCTACTTAAAAGACGTGTTGGAGAAGGAGGTACTCCCCTGGGCAAAATCCCATTTCGGCAACCGGACATGGACTTATCAACAGGACTCAGCTCCAGCACACAGGTCCAAGGTGGTACAGGACTGGTGCGCAACGCACTTCCCAGACTTCATCTCGTCGAACGATTGGCCCCCGAACAGTCCAGACCTAAATCCATTGGACTACGCCGTGTGGTCATTTCTTAAGACAAAAGCCTGCTCTACTCAGCATAGAAGTTTGGATGCTCTACGTGCAACCCTCGTCAAAGCATGGGAGGATTTGGACGAGGACTACCTCCGTGCCGCCGTCGACGCGTTTCCTAGGAGACTTTCAGCCTGTATTCGAGCAAAAGGAGGCTATTTCGAGATCTAGTTTGTTTTTGTGATCTATATAGCTGTTGATAAATGCTGTTGAAGTTGTATCATGTATCGATCGATTCGACCGTTTTTTACGGGCATATTTACCGTTGCCAGAACTTTTGCCGCACCCAGTATAACCTTGTTTGTCTCATTTGTGCAATAATGACAATAAATAAATAAAATATAGACAGATTTCGTCAAAAGCTTTGTCCATTTACTCTTGCTTCTTTCACAAGATACTGATCTATTACATTGACCAAATATTAATTGAAACGTTCAATATGGTACCTGGCCGGAGGAGTCTGAGCAGCACTCAGGAGCGCTTAATGCGGGTCTAATAAATATAAGGGGACTGAGGTTGAGTTGGCATGGAAGGCGCGGTACATACTGCGCGGAGGAGTCTTAGCAGCAATGGAAGCAGCTAAATGCAGGCGTAAAGGTAAGAAAAGCATACAGACAATAGTCAAATCGATGTTTACTGCACACTTACTCACTCTAAATCGATTTCTTCAGAGCGCCCTAATCCCGACTCGTGGGATACATTGGGATTCATTCGAATAACATGCATCATCCAAAATAACCATTTTTCAAGGAAGGAACATTTAAGAGAAAATGCAATAGTATCCCGTCCCACTAACCGACATTCTGCCCACTGTGCTTGCATCGATCGCAGCGGCCTGCACAGCAGTGGCGCATACCGCTTTCTGATTACCATAGCAGCCGTCGCGGTAGATCGAGGGGCAGTACAACATGCAATCTGTAATCGTTCAAGAAACTGTAGGAATTTTACCACTAATACTCTCAACGATATTTCACTGGACCAATCTATTATATCAAGAGTGATAATATATTTTCATTTTCATCATAAGAGAATAACTTTTTCATTTAATAGAACCTTGTTAGCCTCACTTGTGCAATAATAGCAAAAAATAAGTAAAACATAGACAGATTTCGTCAGAAGCATTGTCCATTTACTCTGCTGGTCTTTCACGAACTACTGTCTATTCAATCTGACCAACATATAATGAAAAACGTTCAATATACCTGGCGGAGGAGTCTGAGCAGCACTAGGAGCAGCTGAAATGCGGGTTATAAATATAAGGAAAGGCAACTTCTAATGGAAAGCAGTACAACATACCTGGCGGAGGCGTTTGAGCAGCATTAGGAGCAGCTGAAATGCGGGTTGTAAGTATGAAAAGAAAGCAACCTTTAATGGAAAGCAGTACAACATACCTGGCGGAGGCGTTTGAGCAGCATTGGGAGCAGCTGAAATGCAGGGTATAAAAGTAAGAAAAGAATACAGACAACACATTCAAAATCGTGTTTTGAAACTCTACTAAAGCTGTAGTGAGCTACGTAGTGAACCCACATGCAAGCAGATCGTATGAGTGGAGTAATCCACACCGCGGCGCCCACCGCTGAGCATCCTCCTCTGCTATCTTGAAGGAGGAGAAGCTTCAGTCAGGAATGGACAGCTACAAGTGACTACACCCTGGCATCCTCTGTGAAATGTGTGCACCAAGACACATCGTAGACGTAGACAAGCGAAATGGGATCGTCGCGCTCGGAAATGACAAACACAAATGGAGTGTCCGTGAGGAGAAGAAGGAAAAGAAATCATCAAAAACAGATAGGATAATGGCTTAATTCTTGAGCGGTGAGCTGGCCTTTGAGAGTACGGGCGGCCAGACAGAGCGTCGCCCCTGTCACCGATTTTGATCCAAGTAATCCGTGCAATATTTATGCTTACTTACCCATCTTCTTATCATAAGACATTGCTAAATCTCACTAATCATAGAATGTGTTCAGTAGTTATTGGGCTCGAATCCGTGTTAACATCAAAGTCCAAGACTCGGCAAAGTGGACACAGAGGCCTTCAAATGAGAGTGCTTTCCGATCTCACGGTCACTTACTAGGTGGTACTACCTCAACATCAGTTTTTTCGGCCTAACTTCAATTATAGCATTACTTAAGATGTCAGTGGTACCCTGCTTGCATGTTTATAGATGCACTGCATTCGTTATTGCACATTAATACTTCGCTTATTTCACATAATAAAACTTGAAAGAGACACTCACCTGCAGGGACAGTAGCAGTAATGGTGGTGGTAGTTGGAACCGTAACAGTTGTACCTTAACAATTATTACTGAAATTCGCCTGGTCATCTTTGTTAAGGGAATGGAATACGAACCTGACGCTGAGATTATGACGAAGTTGCCAGCGGGGATCGCTCGAGCCAATATGGGGTTCCCTGCTAATGCCACGACCCGTCCAGAGCCGGGAGGATCCTCAACGTAAGCTGAAATGCACCTGTTCACTGGAATTCGGAAGCGGAAGTCCTAGCCTTCTTCGGATTTCGGGTTTGATGGAAGCGACACATCGCACGACACTAGTATTATTAGGTTGTCCCATAATTAGTGAATCACTTTACATTTATTGTTATTAAAAATCCAAGAAAAATGGTGAAGGCGTGAAACATGTTTTGCGAAGTAGCATCCACATTATCCTACCTGAGCAATTACTCAGCCCATTTACATGCTGCCTTCCGTGGCTGATATTTCAATTTTTCTGGAACCTATTTTTGAGCTCCCTTCTTAATCACTTCTGATTAGGATCTTTCAAACGCCCAACAACATAGAGAATCAACCAGCGGATAGGGGCACGCTCCCTCAATCCACGGTCTGCTTGTAGTTCACTCTATCGAGAGGTTGGCTTTTTGAGTTGAAGATGACCCACACT